GGGGGGGGGGGGGGGGGGGGGGGGGAAGGGCATCTACAACCCAAATGCCCATAAACAAACGCACAGATCCCATTGGCATCCTTAACACTTTTCTGCCCATAAAAAATAACAGGAAAATGCAGAATACGAATGCAAAATGGAAGCCAGTCACCACCTAACACAACGAGCGATAAAGCGAAAAAAAAAACAGCTAGAAACATCACCATCATCCTGTGACTTATGGGATAAGACAAAAAGCAAGTTGGTGAGCTTTACCTAAGCATCAAATTCATAAACAAGGAAGCTTTACCTAAGCATCAGCCTCATAAACACGGAAGCTTTATCTAAGCATCAGCCTCGTAAATACGGAAGCTTCACCTAAGCATCAGCCTCATAAACACGGAAGCTTTAACTAAGGAATGAGCAGTCTCGAAAGTGAGTATTCTCGAATACAAGCGAGATTCGAGGAATACTTAGCAGAGGAGGCCCGGGACAACTAGTAATCCACAGAAATAACAGCCTACCATTGAGCAAGAAGAGAAAGCTTGGGGCAGCTAGAAACCTATAGGGAAAGGACTGGCAAGAACATTTGTAGCTACATCCCACCATTATTGAAAACCCACAAAAATACATATCAGTGATAATCGATGAAATAGTTCTGTGCCAGAGATTTTGTTCATAGCTAATTTCAAATTGGCAAATATGTCATTTTACCTTAAAATAATAATAATAAAAATTGTTTTTCAATCGATGAAATTTATGAGTCATTTTTTTGGTCACCCTCGCCCTCTTTCGCAGCATTCGCATCCGGGATCCATAGGCCACTGTCGATGCATCGTCCCAGATGATATGAGAACACTTCTCGATCCATTTTCTGAGCAACTTCTTGCAAACGCGACACTTCCTGACTGTCGAATGCGGCTCGCATCTCCTAAACATTTCATTTACTATTTAATAAACTATTTACTGAAAAGCACATGTGTAAAAGGCAAGAGATGGTCCCTAGAATGTAAAAATGTAAATTGGCAATATTTAAAGATCAAAAAATCCGTTTTTCGAGTACGATGATTAATGGAGGTGCTGATGCTACGAGCCGATCAGACGCTCGTATGGTCCCCAGATGTTCCGAGAAGCAGCGTCGGTTCTTTGTGACGACGCCAGACTTCCTTGTTCGTGTTATCTCGGCCTTGTCTGGGCCTTGTTACCCCAACGGATCAGCATGTATGGTCGGGGAGGTGTGGCTTTCATTCTATATATAAGGCAGCCTTATCTCAGAATAAACACAGTTTAACACCAGGATCAGCTTTACACCGGACCGACGACACAGCTACACGATCTTCCCCCTCGACTACTCTCACAACACGGACTCCTCCTTGGCCCCCTTAGTATAAGCACACCTTCTAATTGCGCTCCGTCACTCATGTACTATCGAGTAAAAAACATGCGCCCAAAGTAACGAATAAATTATGGCCAAGCAAAGTATTCGAATCAGTACAATTCATAGTGAAGAGCAAATTCTCTTCGAAAAGCCTACTTTGTTACAGTTTATGCGATTTGACAGGCCGAAACATCCCTATTCAGAGATCTCTTCTTTTGAAATCTTAATGGACCGAAACATTTCTTACCATTAAGTTAATTCTTATAATTTACAAATTTTGTAATTCTCATCTCCCACCTTTTTTACTCTTCCTCTTTTTTCATCCGTTTTTAATACACTCTATTTTTTTATTCTATTACTTATCCCGACTTTCCACACTTTTTTAGTCTTCATTTCATACAGTATCCATAAATTTCGAATACTACATTATTTCGGTTATACTAGGAACAATGTCACCCAAAGAATATTACTAAAAAATTCCAGGTTCCTAAAACTAGATTGATTTAGAGAAGTGTTACAACGTGCGCAACTGCTAGTCGAAAAAAAAAGCTGGAAAAGTTTGCTTCCTCAGTGACTCTTAAAACCAGAAAGTAGAAAAAAACCAAGCAAATGCCAGTACTCCAACAAATACATCACACAGCTTGGCCTGAAGTGTGCACATCCGCTTTTACTGGAAACAAAAGTTGTTGCTGTGGAAACACAAAGACACACACACACACACACACACACACACACACATACACAACTACACACACATACACATACACTCACACAAATACACTCACACACATACATACACACAGACAACCCCCCGATAATATATGTTTCGTGTAGCTATTGCACTGCACAAAACGCAAAAAAATAAAGAAACAGCCTAAATGAGTTGTACTAAATCTCAATGCAAAAAACAAACCTCTGGCAAGCTTTCATAAACTTCTTGCGGATCTAAGCCACCAGGCGATGCAGCGATACGTTTTGCCTTCTCTTCTGCTTCATATTCAGCAATTGCTGCATCACGCTTGTCTTTGCCTCGTTTACGGAGTCTATCGCAGAATGCATCGACTTCTTGTCGGAATACTTTGAGATAGGATGGATCTGCTGCACGGAACCTGCACAAAGAACAAACGAAAATAAGAACAAAATTTGCCTCCTCATAATTTACATAGAATTACTACCCGTCTCATATGTTAGTCTCCTCCACTTCCATCTGCTCCATCACTTTTATTACTTTCATGCTATTACACTTTCTCTTCTTCTTTTTCACTTATCCTTCTTACAAATTAGTTACATGTCTTTTCAATACATTGCGGGTAGGAAGCTGTACTGAGGATTCCCACTCCTACCCGCTTGCACTGTTCGGTCTGTATATACAGCTAAGGGATGAAACACAGACAGACTGCATCATGAAATGTCTTCTTATACATGACATCTAATTCCAATCTTTTTTACTCCACTATTAGTACAATCAAAAAATAACTTCTAACTGGCAAAATGCCTAATCGTAGCCTAGGAGTGCTGACTTTCGGGACGAGGTACTGATGCTCAAAAAGAAGAAGAACACCTCGAGACGGTTTTGCCAAGGGTTCGCTGAGGAAAGCCGTTGTAGTTCGTAACCTCAGCCAAATCAGACGCAAAAGAAAATATCATCATGCTGACTACCAGAGAATACAGCATTTGGTGAAAACATCTGGGAAAATTGCCCGTCCCCTACTATGAATTGCGGGATACTTCAAATATTTCGATAATCTATAAAAAAATTCAAACAAAAACACAAAAAAAACGCACTTTTTGAAGAAATTTTTGATAACATTGGTGTTTGTTGCGAGTGCATGCAGCGTCTTGGACAATTCCAGCAAATATTGGATGATGATGCACTGCTCCGCTATATTGCACATTTTCTCATCCTGCAAAGAATTGCTCTTTTTTTTTTGCTGTAAAAAAAAAGCACTCATCAAGGATTAGTTTCAATTTAGGGTTTGGCAGAAAATATGAGCAAAAAACGATGAAAGGGTTGTAAAGAATTATTAAAGTAGGTAAAGAAATGTTTCGGTCCATTAAGTCGTATACATTTCTTACCGTTACCACCGCTGGACCTCGTCAGTACGACGACTGTGGCAACAATATAATTTAGTACGGTGTAAGAATTAATTCAGATGAAAGAGATGTAAATCGGAAGGAATATCACATTCATCATAGGTCAGCAAAAGATCTGTGAAAATCGCATCACCAAAAATTAGAAATCTGATATTCAGAACAAACGGCGAGACGCAATTTCATGGTACCCAACAGCTTATTTCAGGCTACTCTATCTACAGATTCATTAGCCAGGGATCATCAAATTGTTGGTGATATTTGAAATCATTTCTAATTATTTTCTTTCCTTCATTTGGATCACGGTAATTTTTCTCTTTATCGTCCTTCGGTTCATCAACAAGCAGTTCTTCCTACCATCCGTGTAAAACCAAAGGCAGAGAAATTGTCGTTTTCGCTTAAAAGTATCCAAGACCTCCGTGACTGTAGAGACGCCAAAAACCATAATACAGAGCGAATAAAGCAGCCCTGATCATGATTTTACAGGCCAAAATTTTCAGACGATTATATGAAATAGTCGCATTTAAAAAAAATCTTCCGGGAGCGTGAAATTCCGCGAATGCTGGAAACTGTTCAGCTGTGAACTCCAAAGCAAAAGAGGTTAGTTGCTTCACAAAGTACAGAAAATACTGCTACCCCAGGCCCATGCCTTCGAGATTTTTGTAAATTTAAAGTTGAACAGCAAAATTTGTTCAGTTTTATTCGATTTCTTAGTCGCTGCTTATTTTCGTTAAGCTTCCTTGCAGCCGAAATCGATGTTTTAGCGAGCCTCGTTTTATGGTGCATATCTTCGTGCCTTTAAAGCAGCTGTCATTTCCTGCGACTGCTGTATCGATGCGCAGCCTGATGCGTACGAGATGACATAAGACCAATTAGGGGTGTAAAGATATCCGAAGTCTCGATAAAAAGGCCCGCCCATCCCCTCCCCCTCTCATGAATAAGGGGGAGGGGGAATGCAAAACAGTACGAGAAGTGTGCTACAATAACACTTCTTAGCTTGCACTCTCTCCATAGGTGGATCCAGGACAGAGTTCTGGAGGAAGGGGACAGGGAGATAACGGGGTTGGGGAGAGCGAGGAGTGGGGCTTCTGGGGGAGGGGGGATAGCCCTCTTTCATCCCGGAACTGTGCAAAAACTAGTAATAAAGTTAAATATTGGGTTCCGTTAGTTTCATTTATGAATAGACCGGGGCTTTTGTAGGTCCTTCGCCTCCCCCTCCCACCCCCCATCCCCGCCCTCCGGAATCCGCCTACAGTCCTCTTTTCATTTTGCCTCTCCTTTTTCTCCCTCCCCCTCCCCCCTTCTTCCCCATCCTCCTTCCTCGGTTGAGCTCATCATATACTCAATGTCGAGAACATGTTCGTGTACGGAAAATATTGAAAATTCTCCTTTAGATACTACAAGTCCCGGAAGTAGTACGCGAATTATAGCTTAACTATCTGTAACTGTATAAAAACACACACTAGCCTGAAAAAAGAAAATTCATTTCCCAGTGCTGGAAAAACATTTTGAAATAAAATATTTCCTGAAAATTCTTTCTTCTTTGTCCACCTTTTTTCCTTTCTTTTATATTCCTTCCTTTCCTCCTTATCCCTGAACACCGCGACTGTCATACTGACGAGGTTCAGTCGTGATGCTGAGCTAAGACGTATATGACTTAATGGACCGAAACTTCTTAACTCAACTGTTTTTTTTTACTTTTCTCCTACTACTTTTTCCGCTTTATACACACCTCCCTTACATTGGTACCCATCAACATGGATGCTACAAACGGTTTACCTCATATTCCATAGCATGGTTGAGCGCCTGAATGGTAAGCCAGCTGGCTGTGAAGTCGGAAGCCAAATGTGGATGTTCCAGCAAAAATTTCTCCGATTCTTCGATGCCATGCAGTTCACCATATTCCTTCATCAGATCCTCATTCTTCGCGAAAAAATCTGTCTACAAACAAATCGCATTATGATTCTAAATGACTTGAAGCTTTGCAGCACCAAGGTATTTTTAGCTTTCGAAAAACCGAGCTAAAATTGCAACAGGAAATCCTGAGCTAGCCCCTCTTCAAATCAGTCCAACGTGGCATGCACTTCGGAGAAGCTAAAAAAGGATTCCTGCACTTCTCACAATCATTTCTTCGATTGAAAATTGTGGTAATAGTAAGAAATGTATACGACTTAATGGACCGAAACATTTTTTGTTATTATAATAATTTTAGCAAAATAATTTCACTAAATTCTTACCATTATTTCCTCTTCTCTTCCTACTACAAAATACTTTTCTTCTACTAAAAAATGACAAAAAAAGCAAGTGAATTCGGAACGATTACGGATAATCACTGAAATTTTTTCAGTAAAAATTATCATATACCATGCGCTTGGTTTCTTCCTCCTCCGATAACTTCGGCGGTGCCGGTTTCTCGCCCGTTATTTTATTGATGCGCTAAAAAAAAAGATTTTGATCTCAAGAAAAATAAAGAGGGAATTTCTGAAAAAAACAAAAAAACAGAAAAAAACGAAATTTTGAATACCGATTTGCTGAAGGCTTCATGGCCGATGGTGTCCACATTCCAGGGCTCCAATTTTTCCTTTTCCTCCAGCTCCTTCTCCTTTTTCATATACTCTTCCTCCTGCTTTCTGACTTCTTCAATTTCAAGCTCCAGCTTCATTCGCTCTTTCTCATCCAAATCGGTCCTCTCCAGTCTTGCTCGCACATCCTGAAAGGCAACTTTAATGAATATCAAGAGAGCTTTGTAAATTTTTCAATGTCATATCAAATCTCAAGAAATGGTGAGAGCTTCTCCCTGCTAAACTACGAGAAAATTCTATTCTTAAAAATTTCGAAGTCAAAAAAATATGATAACCGACATCTGGCAAATTCTTAGACCAAATGCTCCAGGTAAAAGCAATTTTTCTCCTCATTCCAACATTTTCGGGACT